ATATATATATATATATATATATATATATATATATAAAACAAAAGCAGTGACTTGACAATCATATCCTAAAAATGTTTGAACTACAAAGCAGTGTTAGATAAAATATTGTTGTAATGTATTCTACTGTTCAGTGGGTTCTTTTTGATCATTTGGTAAAAATAATGCTTAGTCCAGCCCACATAATGATAATGAATTAATCTATTTGTTCAGTAACGTTTGCTATAATGTAGGCTATGTTCTCTTATAAGCCTAACTTAATGAATAAATAATGTGTCTACAGAAGTTCCAAGACTATTGGTACATATTCCTAACTTACTTATAAATTTACCTGCAGAATTTCCTCACTAATTGATTGATACTAAACAGGCCTTCTAACTCACTAAAACTCTTTTAACTGACACTAGACTTGTTACTCATAAATTCAATGAATGCTTCTCTGATTCACTCACTCGAGCATTTATATTATTCTTGTTTTCAATTTGCTACACAGAAGTTCTAGATCATTACATCATCATCATAATTCACTCTCTCTGGCAAACAAACATCTAAATTAAAATAATAATACAGCTTACAAAGGTGCCCCTTTCCTAGATTGTGAAATTCCTGAAACAGTTGCAATACACAAATTCAATTATTCAATCATTTTGGTGGCTTTTTTCTTCATATGTTATCACATACACATGGAATGATTTCTTGCCTATCCTTAGTGTTCCTCTGGAAATGGCCTCAACAGGAACTCTTGAGTTATTCAGCAGGTTGATTTTCCACTGGCATATTGTACTCTGAGGTTCACAGCTCACCATTCTCTCAACATCATAATTCCAAAGACAATCGTGGTGGGTGACCTTTGGTTTGGACTGTCTGTCCTTCTGAATTTTGTAAACCACATCATTGATTCTTTTCAGTACAATATATAGTCCTTCCCAACACCTATTAACTCTCTTGAAGAAGGGATTGTACAGCCATGGCATATCACCTTGATGAAATCCAGTCTTATCAGCATTAACATTGCAGTAACTTTTATTTTTGTCACTAGGTGATTTTAGTCTTTCTCTGTGATGTTCTTTATTCTCTTTGCATATTCCGTGTAATACGCATCTGATGGATAAATTGCTGTTCTCTTGGTTTTTTACTTCTAAAAAGTTCAAAAATTTAAATTCCATCAGCACCCCAAATTTTGAAATAATTTTCCTTGCTGGGATTTCTGCTTTCTGGTTAGGAATTAATGAATTAATCTAGCCAATTATTCTTCATTGAGCCATTTTGGTGAAATAATAATGTATTTATCCTATCTTTTACTCTGAAGCAGAAGACCAAGCTCATCAACAGCAATTCTTTCAAGTGGTGTTCCAACACAATAGCGTCGTAGTGTTTATGCCATTTTTTCCGCGACCTTTTAGCTCACAGCATAGTTCACATGATTTTTACCCATTCTCTACAGTTCCCCAGCACACAACCAAATAGAAGCATTCTCTTTAATGTGTGCTTAACATCCAAGTGCCAAGCAATTGGAAGGTTTTTCAGATTATGGAGTGCTTTTGAATGCAGAGACTGTGAAATTACTACTGTAGTCATTGTTTTTGTCCACGAGTACCTTCCACTTTTGACATAACAAGCCCTCTTGTTGGCATAATAAGTCCCACTATGCCCAGTACATCTTTGTCTTTGAGCTGTACGGAATGTTTTGCCACAATAGTTTTCTGTACTTTTTTTGAATCATTGAATAATTGGTTTGAAACTCATAACACTTGCCTGAGTGTTGGACCACATTAGTTCTTCTTCATCACCAATCCAAAACCTTACTTAGCCCATCATAAGCATTACCAAAGGCCTTTCCATGTATTTTTGTCACTTAGGTACAACATTCCATGTTAGTACAGAGAGAGCACACTCCATTAATCAATGAAATGTAGCAAGTGCATTATATAACCTAAATGGTAACACAAAAAAATTTCCACAATCCATTTCTTACAGTAAAGGCTGTATTCTCTTTCTACTTGTTTCTTCAACCAGAACTTACCAATATCCATTCTTCAGATCCAATGTTGAAAACCATTTTGGTCCAAATAAAGCATCCAAAGTAGAGTTAATCCTTGTCAATGGGTAGACATACTTCTTTATGACTTCATTTACCTTCTGTTAGTCTACAAAGAACCTTGTGGATCCATCCCTCTTCTTCACAAGAACAGCATGTGATGCCTATGGACTAGTACTCAGTTCTGTTACTCCTTGTTCTTTTATGGTTTCTAGCTTTTGAAAGCCTCAGCCTGTTTTATAAGTGGGAGTCATCTAACTAGCTGATGTATTGGGACTACATCTCCAGTATTAATCTTATGAGATGTTTTATTTTTTCTTTGGTCTATGTCATGGGATATGCTGAAAAAGAAATCTTTGCATTTCGTGAGTAGGTTGTAATCCATGGCATTTATCACTTGCAAGACCTCTAAGGCTCCAGTTGTATTGGTCTTGTAAATGAGATGATAAACTGCTGTTCTGCTGTAAAGATTTAATGTCAGACTTTCTACATATTACTACAACAGTGTCTATTTCTGATGTTCTGTGATGTGGCAGTAATACTCTTACAGATTCACATCTTACAATGGGCCATCCAGATTTGACTCAAATTTTGTTGTTTGTTATGTTCATGGCCCTAATAATGACATTTTTTATTCTTCAGATCCATGATAGTTCTTTCAACCAATAATCTCTAAGGGCACACTGGAGTGTTTGGTTCTTCTGTGTCCCAGTCACTAGATGTGAAGTTGTTCTTAATAAGTCTTTATATGAGTATTTCATTTTATGGTGGTACAATGACTGTCTTCTCTGTTATCATTGGAGTAGAAACCTCTGGTGTAATAACTGTCATAGACAATGAAGCTATCTGAAGCTAAAATCACCTCACATTCACATCCCTGTATGAAATCAGTTCCAAATATGCAATTTTGCTCAGTCCAAATTACCCACACAAGGTAGAGGAAAGCTTTCTACACTAAGAGTAATTTACAAAAATTGCTGGAACTTCATGTCCACTTGCTGTTCCAGTAAATCCATCTTCTTTATTCATCCCAGAGAAAATTTCTCATCATTCACTACCAAATTGTAATTGTTGAATAATTGATTACCAGGCTTAGCATAATTAAACTTGGGGGCTGGTTACTTTAAGGATTGAACTTCTGATCTCTTTTGTGCCAGATGGAGTATTGTTAACAAGAAATCAAAATGAGAGAAGATCAATCATCTCCACAAGGTTGAGCAACTAACAAAAATCAACAAGCTAAGCCAAATGTAAACTTTCAATACCTTTCTGCATCCAAAAAAGTTCACAATTAACAGCATGTAACACCTACTGTAATCTGGAAAAAGATTTGTAGCATACAGTTTTCCATAAGAACATTTATATGAAGATTTGTGTTTTCAAAGTTTACATTATTTTAAAACCAGTAAAGCAAACATTGTGTAATTCTTAATGATATCTGCCACAGAATGTACTGAAGATTAACCAAATAAAGATGCTGAGATTGAGCATGAACATCCATGGTTAGTTATTATTTAACATGAAGATCTACCTGATCTGAATCTTCCATCCATTTGACACTGTATACATCACCTAGGTAGGTGCGTCTCTCTTCATCATAATAGCATGCATAAGATGATTCTCTATCATTGGAAGCTGTTGTTGCAAACACTGTAAATAAAAATACCACTGACCTCTTACTAAAGACAGTTCACTGTACATCCTTAGCAAAATGTTTAAGAGATATATATATAATATTACATATCCATACATCTCTTTCTGTATGTCTTTTGTTAAAGAGGTACTTTAGACGTATCTAAGAGAATAATAATTTACTATTTCATAAAAGATATGCATATATATTCTGATTACCTTTAAATAAAAATTATCATACTTTTTCCCCATAAAGACATACATGTAAATCTTGTGTACTACTTTTGCTATACTTTTGGCCAATCACAAACTGGCTACAGCATGGAAAATCTAAGTGTGTGTGTGTGTGTGTGTGTGTGTCTAGATGAAGAAAAAAGTAATGATGACATCCACCACACCTGAAGGCAAATCCTTCCAAAGAACAACCACTCAGTTAAAAAGTCAAACTATCTAAGCTAAAGATGACTCCTACCTTGTCAAAATTAATGTGTATGTTTGTAATACCATCAAATATAAAAAAAAAGATGATGGATCAATACTATCAATTCCCTTACTAATTTTGGAACACCTCAATCAGATCCCCTCTAATTCATCTTCTTTCAATAGAGAACAATTTAAGAGATGTTAATGTGTTTTTTGTATGACACCTTTCCATCCTAGTAGTCCTCCTTTGAATCCTTTCCAGCAACTCGGAGTGCAAGATTCTTAAGGTAAGCTTAAGATTGAATACAATACTCCAAGTGAGAATACAGAATAAATTGACACATCTAAATGAAAATTGTTTATAGTTTATTTTGTGCAACATTTTGAGCAAACTCCCTTCTTTGGTCTTTAATGCCTGATGAAGGGTGTATGCTAACAAATTTGCATAAAATAAACTATTAAAAGTTTTCATTTAGACGTGTCAATTTATTCTTTATTATCAAGATTTTTCTTCTCATGTCTTGCAGAATAACACTCTTTAAGAAGTCCTCTTTAGACTTATATTCAGTATTTCTGTAAATACAACCAAAAATACTATTTTCCTTGCCAACAACAACAGCACATTGCTTGGCTTAAGAGATTGATCAATCAAAACACCAAGATTATTTTCTTCCATAACACTATAAAGGTTATACACAATAAAATTATACTTATAGTTTATATAATAATATCCTATGTGCATTATCCTGCATTTCTTACTACAAAAAAACACCTTCCAATTATTCATCTAACTCACCAAATGACCTAAATCCATTTGTAAAGTAGCAGCATCCTCACAACCAACAACATTCAAGGCTTTAATATCATAAGCAAATCAAAGCAATTTACTGACCTTTCCTTTACCTGTCATACGTTACAACTCTACTTTCTAAGTCAACCCAAACAGTGTCAGTACTCAACAAAATACAGGATGATTATAAAGACAATTTCACAATTTAAATGATTATATCTTCAAAATTACATGTCTTGGGGTGGAAAATTTTAGCCAGTATTAATCTTTCAGGTTATCATTCTCATTCCACTACTTTAATATTGTTGTAGTTGTTTATATAGCTTTGACATTATAAGAAAACACTTGAATAATATGACATTATTCTTAGGTTGAACATTTGTGGATTTTATTAATATTTATGTCACTTAAACATAACATCAAGTAATGACTTTATGAACTTGTAACAGATAATTTCAAAAAAACAAATAGTAAAACATAAAAAACAGCATACATAAAAATATGACATACCACTATGCAACAATGCTTAAATATATTATATTAAGCTTTTACTGTACCACTGATGTTGTCTGGCAGCAGATTCTTAAACATAGATCCTGATTCACAAGCTTCAATGTAGAATACCATCTGAAATCAATACCATGTGTGATAAAGAAAGACACTGTGATGACAAAAAATGGATAGATAAATTATAATTTTCATGCTTTCAGTGCTGTTTTCACAAAAGATTTCAAAGATCTCCAAAAAGATTCTTCTTAAGCTGCCAAGCACTATTATCATCATGAACCAAGATAGTGGTTCATAATAAGAATCACCCAGGAATTTGACAAAATTCTAACAGAACATATAGAAAAAAAAATATCTTGGCAGGCTTGTTCTTGAAACAACACTCAAGATCTTATATTTCAAGGGCTAAGACTGCTAAAATATTGATAATAGCAAGTTGATTTTCCAATTGTTAGATAAAATTCAAAATGCATCCATTTGTTCCTCATATTATAATTATTATTCATATTATTCTTGCTTCACAAACCTACAGAAAAAATGGAAATGAATATTATATTCAAACCTACTAAAAAACTCCTGCACAGATCATATGACTATTTTTATGTTACTTCTTGAAAAAGAATGAGATATTATCAGTTTTTTCATCACTACTGGCAAAGATTCTCTTTGAAGCCATTCAAGCACTGAAGCCTACAGCAAAAACAGCTAGATATACGGTGCTAAAATCTATGCACAGCTATTAAAGAAATTCCCTCTGATTTTTAATATTTCTTTGCTACCAACATAAGCTCTTCAAAACCATTCAAGCATTGCAGAAACGTAGAAGCCATTTAAGCACCATTACACTAGTCAGAAATGCTCCATTTTATACTAATCGGAAACACTTCATTTTAGTAGAGTAAACAAGTTGTATATTTATAACGGTCTCTCCAGCTTTATTATTATCGATTATGGTTTTACAAGCCACTACAGAAAAAATGGCCACAAATATTTTACTGAAATCTGAACAATAGTAATGAATGCAGTACTGAGTATGTCATACAAAATAGTGATTTGTAGCTTAAGAAAATAATGTAGACACTACTTCCAGACTAGTTTGTTTACTTTTTTTACAGTCCCTAGTTGTAGGCTTGAAAATATATTCTTTACATTTTGATTCAATTTCTTCCTGTACTTTTTGACAATCCCTATTCCCCTTTTCAAATTAACAATTTTTAATTATCTTATCATATCTGTGTATGGAAGTTTGGTTAAAGCATTATAAACCCAGTATCTAGAATAAGGATTTTATCCTAGTTTTCTTGATTGTGACTCACATACTGGACATCCATCTTACACTGAAAAGTTACTAGAATATAAATCATATTGAAACAAGTTATATGGAACACATATTACATAAAGCCTGTCCTACATATGCATAACAAACAGCAGAAATTAAGACATTTTAAATCTGCCTAAAAAGTTATTGAGACTATTATTGCTATATAATTTTTAGTGAAATACCTGGTAAAAAATTCATGTCTGTATCTCATGAAATGGGACAAAAAAAAGGAGTTAGTCCAAACATAACTGTAGATATAATGCAAGCTTAAGTTATAGATACTATTAACTAGCTTGAAACATTCAGAATTTGTTATACACCAAAATCTGCATATCCTCAGTGTTAAAGAAAACAAGTCATAAAGAAGACACACCAAAAACTACCAACATCTTGCAAAGTACACCACAAACATGATATCTGTGATAATACTATAGTATATTTAAATAAAAGTGAGTTGGGAGAATGGGAAAGGATTGTTTACTAACAGGAGGTTGAACAAGATATTAATTATGAAGTAATCTGGAGGATACAGAAGTACAAAAAGACAATGAAACAATCTTTATTTATACTCAGACACAATTAACTCTCTCAACATGGGCTCGGTCAATTTGACTGACCCATGACCTATTTGTACTCATTTAGTTTTTATAGATTTAATACTTCTAACTTTCAATATAGTGTGTATATCTTCACAAAATTTCACAGTCTTTCAGTTAATATTACAAGTCTTTCAGATACATAAAGTCATATTTCTCTGTGAAGTATTTTTAATAATATAAAATAAAGATTTGTCCATTAATATATTGAGTATTTGTTTTGAATAGTCAGTGTGCAAAGTAATTTTCATGTTAAAATTAAAAATTTCCTTTGTGTAATCCCTAAAACTTCCTAAATGCATTTCACGCAATATTTTTCAGTAAAACTTTATAGTTTATCTGTTACTTTCTCTAGCCTATCTCAAAACGCAATTTGTCAATTCGACTGATCTCTTAACCACCAAAAAAAAATCAAAATAAATCTATATTACCCTTTTTCTTTCTAGAATGACTTCAAATTGAAAAATGAAACTATATTCATTTATCTTAAGTATCTCTAAATTCATAACAGTATACATCTATTTATAATTAAATTTTATTGTTTTATTGCCATTTGAACCATGTCTAACTACTATCCACTATGATCTGCTCACATGTATGCCTCGTGAAACATTTTTATTATAATATTATTAATATTAACTTTACCTAATCTAATCTTAACTAACCTAATAGGATCACTATTTTTA